TTGCACGGAGATCTAATAGATTTTGTATGTAAACAGGGCTTTGCGCTGCCTCCATCCACCCCGCCGTCGGAATTATCTGTGCAGTGCAATAGAGGAGAAGTGAAATATCCTGTATGTTTGAGAACAGGTAAAGCAATGGTGCGCGCTCACAATTTCTCAGGTGATCAGTGTTGCCACGTGGGTTCAAAGTATAAGACTAAAGCGGTTCACCACCATCATCTTCTAATCTCTAAAAGTGGGAATCAGCTGGTCAACGTTTAGTCAAACATACACTTAAATCGGATGGCTTCGCCGACATCTTTTGAGTCCTGTAAGTTAAGTTTATGAAGGGGGAGACCAAGGAGGTTTCCTCCCTATTGCCAAACTCTCAGAGCACTCAGAGCACTCTGGGAGCACCACCAAGTCTGCAGAACATCGCTCTCCTCGGGGTTTGCTGGAGAGCATTGTTTCAGGAAAGGGCGTGAGGTGTAGAGCATGAGGTTTTGTCTATTCCTGGGGCGTCGGACTAGGACTTTAGAGAAGAAAAAAGGAACAGAACATATATACAGAAAGCATGGCTTCTAGAGGAATCTCATACACTGTCACTCTCAGCTAGGTAGAGGGGCAAAACAAAACCATGATTCTCAATGCATGGCTCATTTTAAACGTGTATTCATATATTATAATATGAGATTTGAATTGCAATACTAAGTGTATAATATGAGGTTATTGCAGAAATGCTTCCATATTTAAAAATTATTTGAGACCTGTCATAAATGCTTTTCTATAAAACACCACTGTATTTCTGTAGCAATGATGAAAGCACTGGATACCGATTATAGCCATTGACTGCATATTTTAAAAATTATTTTTGCAGAATCTAAAGGCGTGTGTGCATCTCCCCCACTTATTACAAATGGAGTCATTATTGGGTCAGCAGGCGGCACCTATGAAAACGGCTCCTCAGTAGAATACAGGTGTTTTGATCACCATTTCCTACAGGGACCTAGAGTGTCCCATTGTGTACAGGGAGTGTGGACCACACCACCACTGTGCTTGGGTACGTACGAATAACTGTAGTTAATAAAATAAAACCATATCTTTTCACTTTCTGTGCTCTGTGTGCTACTAGAACACTCACAGAATGCTTAACGTGCTACATTGGTATTATTTCGTTCGCGTGCCTATTTAGTCAGGCGTCTACCAAGAACCACAGAAAAAAATGGCAGGTTTTTTGAAACCTAGTTTCTGACTTAAACATTAATTCTATCTAACTTACTTGTCTCTAATGCCTGGAATTTTGAAGGTCGTCATCGCAACCCAAGGCTTCCTGGCAGTACCAAGATGTGCCAAGAGAATCTTCTTCTTTAATTTTTCAGAGCCTTGCACATTATCTCCTGTAGAAATGGAAAAGAATAATTTACGGTTGAAATGGGATTTCGACAATAGACCCTACATTTTCCATGGCGAGTATATTGAGTTTCTTTGTAGGAGAGGTACTTCCATGGCTCGGTTATCTACTATTGGGTCTGAACTTAGAGTGCGATGTGACAGAGGGCAGTTCAAATATCCACGATGTGTCCAAAGACCAAGGTGAGAAGAGACCTGTGTCTACAACTATTTTTTGATTGATTGTGTTTTGGTCATATTGNCATCGGAAAACAAAAAGATATTTACATTACGATTCATAACAGTAGCAAAATTACAGTTATAGAGTAGCAACGAAAATAATTTGATGGTTGGGGGTCACCACAACATGAGGAACTGTATTAAGGGGTCGCGGCATTAGGAAGGCTGAGAACCGCTGCCCTAAAGGGAAATCTGCATGTGTGGCTAAATGGTATCTTCTCTTTAAATGGTCCCTTTTCAGAGGAAAAGGAGAAGACAGCCTGTGAGGAGCCACCTGCCGTTGGCCACGGTGCAGCAAACCTGTATGCGACGGTTTATTACAATGGGGATAAAGTGGCATTTACATGTCAAAGTGGCTATCATCTGCGCGGGCCAAAAGAAATCACCTGTACGCATGGAAAATGGACTCTTCCCCCCGAGTGTGTTGGTACGTGTGGCACATGGAACAGCAGTAGCTAAGCCTATTGTGTAAACAATTTTCATTCTCTTCATTTCATTGGCATACTTATAGCAAGAGACCATTGCTTCAAAAAGATAGAAACTCTGCTGTGTGTGTGTGTGTGTGTGTGTGTGTGTGTGTAGGGAGCTCTTTATAGAACTGAAGTCAACATATAGAATTGGGAAAGAAAAACATCATTTTGAATGTGCCTCATTGCTAGACACTTTTGTTTGATCTATGTGATGCCATGGCTTCTGAGCTTTAGACGGCAGTGAGGACACACTTCATTGGAGATGAATAAGGACGTGTTGGGTTGAGTGACTGGCCATCAGAATGACCCACTTCCTTTGCCTTTACGTCCCACAGACTTAGGGTAGAGCCCTCTGCTCCTGACTTTGGGTCACGCCTGCTGATGTGACTTTCACTGCTGGCCATTCTGAGCCGTCCACCCTTCTGAGACGGGTCCCTGCTCTTTTCTTTCACTGAAGGGCACGCCCTCTGCCTGCTGTCCTTCCTGACACCCTTCTCTTTTCTCAATCAGCTCTGGAGGACTCCGCACCAACACGTGTACCGAGGATATGTGTCGCGTGAAAGCAGAGCGATTAGAGATGCTAGAGAAATTAGCAGAGTAAGAGGCAGGCTCTAAAGAGACAGCGGAAACGGGAATTTTCATGCATGGGTTAGCTAAGATCCAAGATGAACAGAAACAAGACAGAAAAAAATAAAAGTGGATGATGATAACGGGCACGTTTAGAATTGAGCATAATCTTAGGTTAAAGAGCATCATTTACCTNTGTACTTGACGTAGGACTGTGTGACTCTGAAAACTTGAAAGAGGGACTTGGTGACCGACTATAGTGGGCACTGACGCTGATATTTGCCTTTTCACTCAGGTGAAACTACGTGTCCGATTCTTAGGTACTTGCCTTCTTCGTTCTTGTCTTACACATTAGTTTGTGATTTAAACCAATCTCATCACTGCACTGGGAGAGCTTGGGTTTTGACTGTTAAAAGCTCATAAATTGACTACATAGGGTGTATTTATTGTGATTGATTTTGGTAGCATGGAAGGAATGCACCATTCAATTCTTGTTTTAATCAACATACTTTTTTTTTTTAGGATGTTCGAAATAGGTCCAAAGTTGTTGACCACGTTTATAGTCTCCACAAACTTACAGCTCGTAAACATAGAATGAGCACTGAAAGGGCTCTTCATAAGCAAAATAAGAATTCTTCTATAAGCTCTCCCTTCATTCCAGAAACACCTGTACGAACCAGGGTGGTTTCAAGGTAAGCAGTCCATGTGTTCTGTAGCTTTGTGTCACTGTTCGTTCATTCATTCAACATTTACTGAGTACCTACTATAAGCAGCACATTGCGTTTGACAAGGGAGAAACAACATAAGAACAAGAGTGGGACCCGGTGAATCTAAGGAAGAAGATCTCAGTAACATAATGGAGGAAGAACGCTAGCTTTAGCACATCAGGTCTGTGGTTCGGGGCAGAAGAATCAGTCCAGAGATACCAGTTAGGGAATCATTAGGTAGCACTGAAGGCCTTGGAGACGAATGTGATCACCTTGGAGGAAGAGAACACAAAGAAGTCACAACCTGAACCTGAAGCTAACCCCAGTTTCCCCAGAAGTCAGTCAGATATGAGGTCTGACAATTAAGTTCACGAACTCATCTTAGAAAAAGTGCTACATACCTCATTGCTGAATATCACTATGGTCACCTTCCAAGTACTCCAAGTACAGCAGGGTACAGCCAAATGGCATAAGCTCCAGGGAGCTGGATCATCTCCCAGGAAGCTGGAGAGAACAGTCTGGAATTAAGACAGTTGTCAGGGAAGTGGTGTGCTCAGAAGTAGCCTCACGTGGTTAGGTAAGATGGGTGAGGGTAGCCCTTTAGGAGAACTTGATTTCAATGGGAGGTTTCATTCTTTTCACAGACTGAAACCAGGTTGGGTGTTGAGAAAGGACAACATGGAAATCACAAGTCCCCTGCAAGCGATTCGAATGGTGATGGATACGCTCGGCATTCCTTATTAGTAAATATAAACGTTTTCAGTGTGTACAGGGAAAAGATACAGTAAAGCCAATCATGAATGTGTCAAGTGTTTTGGCTTTTTTTGTAGAACTTCTAAAATTTGACTTTGTATTAAAATTGAAGAAATACATGTACTAAATAAACTTTTTTTTTTATATTCTTCATTGTTTTATTATTTAATAGCTTTATGCACGTAAGAAATTGATATGTCATGAAATTATTATAACACTGTTTTTCATGTCTGTTATCTTAAAATAGTATGTTAGGTTTGAATATCATATTCCTAAAGGGAATAGAATAATTTATTATCTCTGTTTTATAGATAAATTGAGGTATTTTTCTAACAGATGTTGGATACTGAGATTATAAATAAAAACTGAGTGACTCCAAAGCCTTTACTTCAAGCCTGTAGTTCATCAACAGTAAAACACAGGTAAAACTAGACGAAATTTCTGAAAAAGAAGACTAAAATGGGAGGACTAGTCTCATATGCGCACATATATTCTATGACTAGTGTAGCTAAGTCTGGTGCTGAAGTTATGATGAGAGTAAATAATGAAACAGAATAGAGAATCTAAAAACAGACCTAAAGTATATACCGGAATCTAGTGTATGAGAAAAGTGGAAATTCAGATCAGTGACAATAAATTAATTAGTTGATAAATAATTGGCAGCTCTCTGGGAATAAGCAAGCTTGTTTACTTAACTGACACCATTCACAGTGATTTATATTCATCAATTAAGAATTAAACCAAAGAAGTGCCATAGACACTGTGTCAATATTGTTTTTTAAAAAACAACTTTGGATTGATTGTAACTATAACACAAATCCAAAAATAGGAAAGAAAAGATCAATTAACTTGCGAAATCCACCATAAAAAATTTAAGAGATACATAGCATACCAGGAAAAAGATTAATAAAATCACAGACCTATTTCATTTTCCTTAACAGTATATGAAAAGTTCATACAAGACCACAAGGTAAAGACCAACAGTTTGATTGAAAAATGAGCAAAGAGAATGCACAGAAATAATATTAAAATGGCTTTCAAATCCATGTAAAAGTTTTCTATCTCAATCGTAGTCAGAGAAATGTAAATTAAACTATACTGTGATGATGTTTCTACTTATCAAATTGCAACCATAGATTATTTAATAACACTGTATTGGGATTGGGAAAACGCCCTCTGGTACTATTTGGAGAGTGAATTGCCATAATTTCCATTAGAAAACTTGAGCAATATTTACCTGTATTATAATCACTTAAATTCACATGTGCAAAATGACGCATGCAGTACTAGACATCGCAGAAAT